AATGGCCGGCCGAAAAACTAACGTAAACGTATCTACGGTTAAATACCAATACGTACTTACTTCGTATAGGATACGTAGTATGACACACCATGTTTTAACAAACTTCCTTACACTAATCATTTTTATGATTTTTATGTGATTTAAGAAACATCATGGCATCCCACGCACCGCAATATGTGGTTTTTCAGCAGTCGCAAAAGTAAGATTTTTCCGAACTCGTAAGTAGGTAGGTAATTATCAAAATGCTGAGGTATCTTAAACATCGTTAAAATTTTATTTATGAACTAGGTATATGAATTTTTTTTACCAGGTGCTAGGCATCTCGACTGGACAAAACTACGAAAAGAATGTAAAAATTAAAAACCCACTATTTTATAAAGATTTTATTAAACATTTTTTCTGTAAAATAGATTAATTAAAACTGACATTTACAACAAACAACTATAAAATTCTTTGTATTCTCCATCTAACACTAATTACGTTAATAGTCCTGTTTAATATTTGGAATTGATCTCTAGTATAGCCGAATGGATGCACAGTCCTCGCGCGGAGGCGAACTAGGGATAAAACGATTGTAGTACAACCACACTTAGAATCATTGTTATTTTATTAACAGATATTTTAATTGCTATATCATTTTTAAACAATCATACAAATGGTATGAAAATTGTAATATTAAATAACGTTTTCAGAGTTAACTAAGAAGTATGAAAAATATTTGAGGATGACTAATGCATGAAAAAACGCTTGGTAAAAGTAAAAAAATTTTTTTTTTTCAGATCATTGCCTATATTTATACTGGTCAGGTACAAAGCTATTGCAAGTAGTTGTACTCATAGTAGGTACTATTAAGGTAAGGTAATGTTCGTTCAATTTTTACCTAAGTGTAGTTGTACTGTACGATATTGAACACGTAGCGTATCGTATCACTAGGATGGGAGGGGATGGGGTCGTATTACATTTGCTAATACATACAATTCATACATTAATGTCGATACATATATTAGTAACTTTGATACATACATTGTTATTATTTATAATTATTGGTTACTTCAATCCGTGGCTGGCTCCCATAGCTGGCTCTATCATACAACATTATGCTGAGCTAAAAATATTTTTCCTTGACTATGAGACTGGCAGATACTTCAAGTTGGGCGCCAACACCTTTTTAAATAAGTAAGTACTGTCAGCGTCAAATAGTTCGTGACACCCCAAGTACACAAAAAGTTTTCAAAAGGTCTTTGTTACAATTTGTAATAAGTAAGATTGTGTTGTTTGACTTTTTGACCACTTTGAGTGTCAAGTATTTGACGCTGACTGTTCATAACGCGTCCAAAACTCAATTTTTTACAAAATTGAAAGCTTTTCGATTCCTTTTTCATCCGCTCAAAAAATGAACATCGTACTACAAACGGAAATTTCTACAGAAACACTGCCCTGTTAATCCACGTTTTGTACTGTCCGAAGAGCAATTAATCATCTCAAGTCCATTTGCAGCTGTCAGGGTGTTTCTGTTCATAAATCTCCGCCAAAAGTCCGGCCGAATCAAAACAAGTGAGACGTTTAAGAGATTTGTCCACACCAGAACTTCTTTTATGTTATGTAGTTTTTTTAAAGTGATTTGAAGTATGAAATAGTTTCAAAGCGTAGGATCAAATTATCCTAGAAGATAGATGGGTACTTCTCATTTACACTCAAATTTGATGGTCACACAATAATAGTTCATAAACGGTATAAGTTAGAACAATACCTTTGAAATCAGATGATAAAATATCTATTTAGCTACATACAAAATCAATTTTATCGTAATAGAAGCAAAAATAATACAAAAAAATCATATGAAACTATAAAAAACGGGGTCATTTTTCGCGTTCTCATCGTGTCACACCTTCGGTTGCAATGAAACATTTGGTTACTGCATTCACAATTTTCATTCAATTTGTGTGTAGCATATACTAAAATCATCGTAATTAAATATACTTTCCACACAATAGTCAAAAATATATCTTCTTATAATTATTTTGAATTGAGAAAGCGAAATACGTTGGTCACACGATTTTAGGTACCTAAAATTTTGAGTAATAATACAAGATTGCCGTTAAACNAGGCCCTCTGGCCTAAATAAAAAAAATATTTTTGTTGAGGGACTAATAATCAGTTAGAGTTCTTTTTTATTGAGGTATTGATAATCCGTTTTTTGCTTCTTTAGCATTTCAGAATGCCACCAGTGTCACCCTTAAAACCAATTGCGTAGAATCTTGTAACTTAGTAGGTGACCTATAAATCGGTAAAATTTTATCTTGTATTTAAGTAGGTACCTATTTATATTTTGTTATTGCTATTTATCTATGAAAATAAGACAAAATATATGTTTTATAAACAATTAAGAGTCATTTACAGTAGTAAAGTTTGAAAAAATTATTGCTGTGAAGTACAGAATCACTTTCGTGGCATCAAAAAATTCAAAACGTTAAATCTTCCAAACGAGACTCACTATTTGACTGATTTACTGAGAATACAATCTTCACATCAAGCGCTACAATTTTTGTTTACAAAAAGTTGAAATAAGTTAGAAATAAAATTCGCCACGAAGGTGACGATGAGAACCGTGGCGATGAGAAATACCCAGATACAAGCCTAGTTTTGTATGGATATTGTAGACTTGAAAAGGTTTGCTGTCCAATAGGAAATTGATATGCAACGGCACGCAAAGCCGTCTCGATTTGGTGGAGGTTTGTCTGATGTATATGGCAGCTCTTTAAATCAGACACTATTGCTTTTAAAGCGAAGAACTAAAGTATTTGTAAGAGTAAAATTAATCGATGTTTGAAAAATAGTATGTAAGATGAACTAACTGCCTTAAAGGAGCATGTAAACTGTTGTTGATGAAAGCATGAATTCATGTGTTCAACTGAATATAACTTTAAATACGAACAAAAATTTGTAACTGCTGAAACTGCACGTAACAAAAAGAACGCGAAAAATTCGACTTTATGCGGATGAGTGTCTGCAGAAAAATTCTAAAAAAATTTGAAATCAATCCTAGCACTTAAAAGATGAATTTTATTAATTTCGCATGCGATATTTTTGGTTCTTCTAAAGAGTACGAAATATGAACTCCATTGAGTTGAGAGAAAGTAGATAATTTTTAGGGTTAACGCAAGTTCAATTTTACAGTCTTAAACTTTTGAGCGGATAAAATGAATTTACATATTGACAAGGAATCGCAGTTTCCCTGTACAATCAAGGGAATCTTACAGTACTCAAGTCCGTTCTCACTTACACCCCATTGTATTGTATTGTACAAGCCACATCTCGCCAAGTCTAGAAGGAGCCGCCCATCAACCTATGTAGCGGTTTATTTTAAAAGACGAACGCGGAATGGCACACGAAATCCAACGGTCGGCGTCGATGCGGAAATTTCCGATAACCGAGCACCTTTGTACAGACGCCGGCATGTCAAGCTAACACTGTATGTTTTATGCCGTTGTAATAAGTGCTCTTTTGCTACAAAAATTTACAGGCTGATGTGCTGGCGCCTGTACGCTCGTCCACATTTAAAATAGTACCGTAACATGGAACAGTAACCCTCTGAGTGTTACCCTGCAATTAGTCACTGTGTCGAGTGGACGCGGGTCCCATAAAAATTACGCCTAAGCGAATTTTAACGGTTACCGTTAAAAAGAATCGGCGAACATATTTGCGCCGAATATTCCGCGCTTTAAAATACAGTGAGTTGGTACCTTTATGTTTTTCAATATTGCATAATAATTTATTTTGCTCGAGCATAATGCGCTGTGCTTTAATTATCAAGTGGCTTTAATATAATTAATGTATACTTCCTTGTATTAGTATTTAGAATCTTAAATAGTTCTTAAGTGTAATTTCAGTGTTATACAAAATTGTGTTGGTAGACATAACATCGCTCTACCGATATTTTACAAATCATGTGTAATCAATGAATAAATTGTTACAATTAAGTTGTTTCGACGTTTATAATAATTAATTTATCTTAAATATCTTGTTTTTGGAGATAATGGATTCCTACTACATTAATTTAACAGCACTTATTAATAATATGTCAGAATCAATAAACACAGTGTCAATAACAGCGTAACACTTATCGTATCGGCCCGCAATATTTGCTAGAAGTTCCCAATGTAATTTCCATCGATTTCCCAGGGCGAATTCAGAAAACGCTGAAACTTGAAATGTTCAGTAAGAGCCAAAGCACACGATGCGTTGCGGCGGCGGTGCGACGCCGGAGCGGTGTCGCTGCGTCATCTTGGCGGGCACACGAAATATTTGCAGTGCGGCACCGCAACGTATCGTGTGCTTTGGCTAATATTTTTCAATAACTGAAAAGCATACAAATACCAAATGAAGTAAGTAGGTATAAATAAAATAATACATAGTAGGTATGAACAACGAATGGAAATAATATAATTTCAATATTGTCACAGATTCCAGGAAAAGAATGGTTTATTATTATCATAAATCTGAATAGGTGAAGCTTTTTCTCATAACTCTCGACATAGCGTTATCAACAGTATAGATACGCTTTAACTCGATAAAAGAAATTATTTTACACATGAAACATGAGGTGTTATTGAACGCACTGTTTAGAAGTCTTATAACAATCTTTAGTGATTCCATTAGTAACTAGGCCTATCTAAATTATTCATACTAAGTGAAAGTCCATAAGTATGTGAAAAAGCTTTACATAGTATAAGTTCTAACACCGCTTTTGTAAAGTTTAAGTGGTAATGGAATGAAATTATATGACGTCTGCTAGAGAATTGAAAGTCGCGCCGATTGGTCCAGTAAGAAACAAGAAACTTCCTAATGAAACTCACAAATTAACCATAAGGAACAGAATGGTTATTACTACTTACAAATAGAATTTAGTAAAGCTTAGTAAAGCTGCTCTCCTATTAATAATTCTGATTTAAGTGGTGTTAGAACTTAAGAGATATTCGGATTTAAAATTTTTATTCAGACAGTAACTTTGACGTCAAGCCGCCAGATTACCCAACAGCCAAGAAGAGAGTGCGGGGCTGCGGGCCGATGCCTCTCCCTTGCCGCTCACCCGAGCACGACCCACACAGGTGCACGCCTCATTAACACTTATCTACCCGCAATACAGCCCACAATCCTGTGACAACCCAACACCATGTCCCACGACAAGTTTATTGAAGCGTACCTGCTTGTATCGACAAGAAATTCCCATCGTTGCACATTAGAATAATATCTACAACAACTACTTTACAAAAAGCTCTTATTCTTAACAGATTTAAGCACAAATTCGAAAGCTCATTTGACTAGAATCTGGTTCATAATGGGCTATGAAATATCAGCAAGTGTCCAAGCGTTAGTTCGTTCGGAAATAGAAAATAAACAGATCCAAGCTTATGGATATATTAGCATACAAGTGTACTGTGATTAATTTAAACAATATATTACTTTGTGCTCTTATTAGTAAAATTATAGGCTTTTAAATTTTCATTACAGAATAATATCATCATTAACATCTCATACACCATTTCAATAGCTAGTATTCTACATTATTTCATATCGGCGTCATTTTACATATACTTGACTAGGTATACTTCATTGTGCTTATTATGGCACCTGTTCCACATTTATTTTTGTATTTTATTCTAATTACATTCTAAAGAAAGAAATGTAACTTACGGATAAACATTGTTCCCAAATCGAACATTCAACCTTAATAGGTTTATGTTTAGGTATTGAATCAAGTGTTTGTAACTTCAAAGTCATAACGCCTATAAAGAGGTAAAACAAAGGGAATATTAACCACTTCGATGTGGCAACAATTCCCTTGATGTTATAAAATTCTTATTTAGTTTACTAATACCATTATTATTACAGATATTAAAACACAAAGTTAAGTTAGATTTCTTCCTTTAGCTTCCCATAATAATTGAAGTCTTAAGTTATAATTACAATAGGGTATTTGTCTACTTTTGTAAGCTAAAAGATTACTTGGTTACTGAAGATGGACACTTTCTTAAGCGCAGATACTTAATTAGTTAAATAACTTCTTAACATTTCACACGAGTATTTTTTCAGTCACATGCGTTAAGCATGTACCTACCTATTAGAGCATAGATAGCATTGCCACACCAAGTTCGCTCCATCTCAAGACATAAGCTCCCAATCTTTAACATAAATTCCCGAACTATCTATACCTACACCAAAAATAGTCAAATACCCTTCTTGCGTGGATTATTGACAATTTGTCTTTTAATAACCTATCCGTTACACTTGAACAATTAACATTTCATTCTTGACTATTTATTCACAATTTCACATTTATCTACCTACACAGCATCGTCACTCAAATCACGAACGGGTAAAAATTCTGTCTGTACAGTGTCACAGTATGACGTCACTGGTCATGGGCGAGGCTGGTGGCCGCCGGAGCGTCGTGGCTCACGAGTGCCCGACGGGGGCGTCGCTCGCCGCGTGGCCCGTCAGAGGCGCCACGTGCGGGTGGCCCGTGATGGGCAGTGCGCCGGCGCCGGTGTGGTCGGGCCCGGGCTCCTGGGGGCCGCTGTCGGGGGGCTCCTCGGGCGGCGCGGCGGCCGGCCGGACGTTGTCGATCCGCGGGCGCGGCGAGTAGCGCGGCGTCAGCGCGATGCCCCCGACGACTGGGTGCGATTTAAGACTCCCGCCTGGAGGACGTCGTACATCATGCGCTCGTTCTCCTGCCGAACTGCCGACAAACAAAATGGGAGCTTAACGATCATAGTGACACGGCGACGACAGGGGCGGACTTTGCCAGGACCACACTTCGGACTAACAGCTCTAGATTTCTATCCACCGTCATTAGATTTGGAGGTGTTTACATTTCCTCGAGCACGTGTGGTTGGGGTCTACTCAACCGGGACTTAACATCACACTAGTTCTAGGGGGCTATTTGTTTTCTGTAATCGGGACAGGGATTCCAAACGAATTCCAAGTTCTAGAAGGTGCTTTCTATTACCTAAGTGACATGTTATTATGTTAATCTTATTAGTAAATATTAATGTCATTTAGCTTGAAAGTTATTAGGTAAATGTTATTACGTCTTATATCTTGTGGGCAGTAAAACCCGAGTATTAAAATGTTATACACAAAAAATCCAATCAACATTTAAAAAGTAATATTTTCCTCTCGCCAACAGACGACTCTACCTACGACTTCTTTTGGAGATTGTGGTTGTGCACGGGAGCGAATAATGAAAGGTATGAATACAAATATGTAGCAGAATATGGCAGTAAGTAATACATTTAAATGAATTTCATAATTCATCCACGTTATTTATTGTACGAGTACAGCTCAGATTTTCAATTTTATGGGTAGTCAAATATGATTTATTAATTTGGATCTTGTGACATTTTGTTGATTCATTTTTGTTAATATTGTAGTTAATTAATGTTTACGTCTTCTTTGTATTGTAGCGAATAAGATAGAAATGTCAATAAAGAAGGTAAGTACTTGGAACAGCGTTTTGTAACTGTGCCCCAAGTGATTCAAAATGGTGAAACGACATCTAATTGTCCTAAACAAATACACACGTGTTTAAGGTGCTCTAAGGGTAAGGCCCTCATGATGACATGCTTCAGGGCTGTCAAGACGAGTCTTAAGATCGGTTTTCTACAACATATCTTATATTCAATGAAGAGCCTTATTTTATTTCTAAAATGCAAAGTGACCATAAACTTTACGAGATAGAGTGTCAAAAAAAACTTGTTCGTGCTTTCCAATTATATTAGGGTTACGTTAATATTTACAAATTATGTTGTTTTTAGGTGCTAAAATAAGGAATATAGTTAGTCGCGTCCGCAAGAGGGATTAGTATTCAAACTTGTCCGAATACCGACTCTTTCAAGGGACATGTCACTTTTATTTAGGTGATTAGTACCGTCTAATCCTATCGACTTACTCTCACGTTGATATTGTTGGTTTCATAACAAAGAACGAATGACTGTACGAGATAAGGGCCTTCTATTCCCTACAGGAGATCGCTCAGTTTGATACCAATTGTTTTGGCGTGTTCCTGACGTAAACCCATTTAGGCACGTCGCACATCAAAGCAAGGATTGCGGGGAAGAAATAATTGTTCGCCGGTCTCTTAGAATCACAGCAGCGGTGGATGATGGACCTTAGTGACAGTACTACGGAAACTACTATGTCAACTATACGAAGATTAATGAATGTGGCCGAAGAAAACTTGTGATTGAACCGAGAAAATTGCTTTCCTTTTCACGAAAGACCCTAAGTAATCACGTGGAGATATCTATGAATACGTCTCTATTCAATTCCGTTGGTAGACTACATTAATTTGTATGGATCTTTGCCATATTACAAGTTTAAATAACTTTTACTTTATTAACTAGATACCTGGAGAAGAGCGACGTTTTTAGAAGATAATATACAATATATTAAATGAACTTTATTAAACAATTTATTGAAATACAGTAATAATATTGCGTAAAGTGCTTTGAGTGTCTCAAGTTTTTAAAAAAAATATTTACTAATGATTCTCAATAACAAATAATTTGTGCCGTGATGCCGAATAGCAGAGTCCGTAAGCTGAAAATTGTATGGCAAAAATATTGCGAAGCTATTTTTAGACTTCTTTTGTGACAAAAATATCATTTGAAGTGAAGTGGCACCCCTACAGTGCAATTAAATTGGCCAAAGGATAACGTTGTTAAAACTCTCACGTTGAGAGCGCAGCTATTAAGGCCCCCATTTTTAGAATATAATTCAATGAAATAGACATTTTATTTATGGGGATATAGTTTTAAAGAGGTCAGAATATTTGTAAAAGCGATATATAAGAGGTAATATCACTCTACTCAGTTCTAAAAGATTAAAAGGTACTTTTTTATTTTAATGCAAAAACATTAGGGCATGTAAAAAGTACGTAAGATTTACATCATTATAAATATGCAAAAGACCCTACAAAGTTAAATAGAGAGTAGGTATCAGTGAAAGAAAGGGCTTAGAAGGAATTGTATTGAACTACTGCGAGGACAAACACATTATGAAAGACATTGAATGAACAACACACGTAGGTACGAGTATATTGTTCTAGTTTGACATCACACATCATTTGCTGATAAAGTCCCTGACAGTCTCTTATTGTTAGATTAGATAGCATTACTGATGTCAGATATACATCTAAACCTATGTGAGGAACCACTGAAACTGGTTCAAGACAATCAAAACTGCCAATTCTTATTCATCAGGAGGCAGGCCTCCCACTAGGTGGACCGACGATCTGGTGAAGGTCGCGGGAGGTACCTGGATGCAAGCGGCGCAGGACCGGTCTTTGTGGAAATTCTTGGGGGAGGCCTTTGTCCAGCAGTGGACGTCTTTCGGCTGAAACGAACGAACGAACGAACGAATTGGAATTCGTAGTAAAAGTAATCAGCGTAAATAAATATGTATATTCGGGTATAAACTATCAAAGGACCTCAATCAAGCTTTTCCGTAGAAATGCTCAATCGTCCGGTATTTTATTATTCTTGGAAATATTATTTATTTCAGTTTCATTCATACGCCAGAATGCATTCGGCAATAACTTGCAACGTTATTTATTATTTTCTGTCGAAACAGAATTGTTCATCACAAACGTGTACAGCTAAATTTTTCGCAGTTATTAAAGGCTTAACGTTTGATTAAAGCAGAGTACATACTTTACCTACATAAAAGCGATTGAACAGAACAATTTAAGTCGAATATATTTTATTGCCTGTGTCCGTGACTTCGTTCATATTCTTTCCGGAGCCGTTAAATTTTACATTCGCTAAGTAAATTATTTCAGTTGGCTTTTTCCATGCTGTATTTTTACGATATAAAACTTATGGTAAGACTAACTTCAATACATAATAGGTAATACATTTTAAAACATGATTTTTACTTGTATTAATAAATTTAAAAAAAATATTAGTGAATTTATGTTAGTAACTTAAAAAAAATACTAATAAAGTGTGACTTCACAAAAAACAGGTGTTTTACATTGCATGTTGTTTCAATACTATTTCAGGTCTGTTGAAAGTTTCCCCACAAACTGTAACTCCGATACTTTGAAACACCAACAAACACAAGAGAAATACGCTGAACGCTGAACGTTTTGTAAGAAAGACTCACAGGTGGTCGTGAAATAGTGCTATCGTAAACACATTGTCATGGCGTAAACTTGGGAAGTCGGGACACTCATCGTTTAGTGGCGTCGAGAATGTATCACCAGCCTTATTTATGATCGCAAATAACTCGTACGTGTAATAGGGACGTACTCGTAGGTATACCCACCTTTCAACGAAACTTGAGCTTCTCTATCACTTACAGACCTTACTCTCATTTCCATTCGTAGATTGAGTTTCGTCAGAGCAAGATTAGGTATATTGTGATGTGAGTATATTATTCTGCTACTAGAAGTAGCTTATTTGGAAATTTCTATCTACAATTCTACATAGGTACTACTTTATTGCCTGAATTTCAAAATTGGTGTAACTTATCAAAATAATATTACATGTATGGTTTAAGTAAGTGTACATGTATGAAGTAGATGTTAAACAAAAAGCGCAAATAACAACAAAAACAATTGCCCTCGTGCGGTGGATTCGTTTACCAGTTATTAATCGTCAACAACGCACCCTTTTTAAAATAATGGTCAAATAAGACCTTATTGTGTACATCGATTACCATTTTTGTTCCAAAGTCGTTGTTATTACAACTAAATAAAAACCATCATGTAAAGCTATACAGTTGTTCGTATTCTAGAACTCCCCAGGCATATCATCCACGACCATCTGAGCTCTGGCGGCCCTCCAAACGTAAAGTAGGTACGGACGGTGAGCCAGAACTCCCGGATTTGTAAGCGATTTCAAATGTACGCCCCGCCGAGTGGCAACGTATGCAGAATAGGGAGGCATTATCTGTAACTAGCTGTGCTTGCAATTGTTCCCGTGGCGGCCACCTCGGCTACGTAACAAGGTCCGTTTACGATCTATCCGACTTTGTCGCACGTACGGAGATGACAGCAAGAGCGAGATCGATGGATAGAGATGAAAAACGAATTGCGATGCAGAGTATGCTGGGCGCAGGGTTGTGGAAATAGTTCTCTAATCGGATTTTCCCGATGTGTACTTAGTTATTTCCTGCCGTACGACATAATATTTTGAAAACCACATCAATATGTGGAACAATTTCTTAGAGTTTTTTGAGATTCGACATACTTACGTATAAAAAGAAGTGTACCTATATTCTTTCATTTTGAAGCTAACGTACCCAATATTCAATGACAGAAACACGCTATACCTCATAGTTACCTAATTATTTAACACAACAACTTCATCATATCTTTTTATTCACGAAATCCCCAACGTAAATCTCGTTAGAAAATAAACAAATGAGAAATATTTTTGTGCCTCGTATCTTGAAAATAACAGAGCATAAGTAAATGCACTGAAAAGTTCACTTAAGCTGCATTTAACGAACTTGAGAGCTTTTGAGAAAGAAAGCGATATTTACTTAGGTTGTTGTCTACAGACTTAAATGTCAGGCTTTATATTTCAGTAATAACTATAAAAGGTAAGTAGTACTTTATGAAATCTTAAAAGAAAAGCAATAATGTCTGATATCTATTTACACTCCAACTACAAGTCATTGCCCGCGGCTCTTCCCGTCGATTTCGAAACATCACTAAATTACTATCGTGAT